CCAGGAAATCATCTTATGCTTTCTCTTTCAATTTTGATATAAATCACTTTTTTTTTTTAATTCTCAGAGAAGTTGCAGAAAATAAAGTGGATCACTGGTATTTAGAAATGTCTTCTCCTTGATCTGAGCCCTCTCCATTCAGAATGCAAGGTTTAGAAAACTTTAGCTGCAGGCCTGTGCATGGATTTAGAGCTGGGACACTTGGGCTCTTTCTTGTCCTTCTCTCTCACTGAGCAGCTACCATGTCTTTCACTTTTTCTCAGTCCCTTTATGGTTGTCCTTTCTCTGTTCATTTTCTTATGACTCTATTTCTATGTCATTCACAATGATTCTTTGTGGTTCTTGACTTATTTCAACACATTTTAGTCATGGTAAATTGAAAAAGAAATAATCAGAAGAGGCTGAGACTGATATCAAGACATTTCAAGGATAGAGTGTGAAAAGACTCACCTATCCAAGTAATTAAGGGAGAGCCACCGAGGGTGAGAACACCATTTGATCACAGCCTCTCTGGGGTCTTACCTGTGGTCCTCTAAAACTACCTTCTCCCCACTGACTAGCCTATCTTAAAATTGTTGAAAAAAGACATTATGATATGTCATACATTTCAAATTGTTTACCTCTAAAGAAAATGGCGCTCACTTTCCCTTCCTACATAAATTGTGTCTTGTCCTAATGATTTTACTCTCTTTAGTCTTTGTATAATAACACTCACTGTGCCAAAATCTACCTGCTGTTTATCTGTAATTAAAAAATTACACTTACCTGAAATTTATAATAAGGTAATCACATCAATATGAATGTTTAATCATGCAACCAGGAGCCAGTTTCCCAAAGGATCCAGTTTCATTGTGTCTTTCTCTGCCTAAACTTTCCTCCATTGGAGGTAAAATCATATTCTCTTTCTGTTTCTATCTCTGGGGCTTTCTCTCTTTCTCTCTCTGCCACTTAGTTTACTTTCTAAACAGCTTTATCCTTCCTAATCTGCCCCTTGCTGCCATTTTCTTCTATTTTGTTTCACTTAAATTTGTGTCCTTTCATTAAAAAAAAAAAAAAAAAAAGTAATTCTATCTTTTTCCAGTTCTTTTATTGCCCCTGTCTTCTCATTTCTCTTCTGTTTTGGTTTATCCCTCACTGAGAAGAACTCCCATCTCTATGTGAAGGTCACTCATGTACTGATTACAGATGCTACTGTTTTGATTCTCTAGGAAACTGAGGTCCTGAAAACATTTGATTCCATGAACAGTGAAGCCTGAATAATTCTAACTCTCTATAAATACTCCTGATTTCTCCCAGGATAGAAAAGTAGGGATTGGTGTCAGAGTCTGATGGGTCCCCAGAGATGAAATTAATATAAACAACCCTTAACCATAGCTGTGCCAAGAGCATATGATTATGATCCTGGAAATTGTATAAATGGATCCCTCCCTCTCTCTACCACTCCTAGTCCTTTCTTTCAAATGTAACAGTTTTCCCTTCTTGAATGAGCGTATGAGAATGAAAGCATAACTACTCCAACCCAGAGGGATATTGAAACTTCAGCTTCATTAGGGGCATCCATATAGAACTGTGTTAATTAAGTGCAGAGAGGCCCCTCTGTTATAAGGTATTTACAACTTCTCACTGAACAGGATGTTCATCAGTTATGTCCTTAATAATCATTTATTAAGCAACAACAGGATTCAAATCCCCATACTAACCTCTGCAAAGGCAAAAACTATTATCTGGTTCATCACTATTTCCACTGTGCTTTAGTATGGAGCATGGCTTCCTAAGACATTCTTTTTTTAGCTTATACCTTGGCTATCCACCTCTTTGCATTTCCTTATGAATTTTATACACAGCTTATCAATTTCCACTAAGATCTATATTGGGACTTTCATTGTGAATGTATCAAATTTGTAGATCAATTTTGGGAGAATTGAAATTTTTAGGTTACCAGGTCTTCCAATCTGAGAACACAGACCTCAATTAATTAAGGTCTTTATTTTTTTCTCAATATTGTTTTATGCTTTTAAAATAAGAACTATTATATATCTTACATTATATTTATTCCTATTTGATACTAATTTATGCTAATATGAATAGCACTTATAAATTATCTTTTTCTAAATCTCTGGTACTGATATATATATATATATATATAATGACTGCAAGATGCCCTCAGCAAGAATTATTAGCAAACTTTGAAAAAAAAAAAGGTTTATTACTTATAGGACCTGGACATTACATGGCACACCTGGGACCACACAGCAAGGTGCAGGGTGGAGGTTGGGGGAGGGGAGAGAGCCCACTCTTGCACAGGGACCTGGCATTCTTTTATTGGAGTCAAGGTTGAGGGACTAGAGTTTCTTGGGCTCACTCTTTATTGGTGATTTTTTAAATTTAAATTCAATTAATTAACATATACTGCAGTATTAGTTTCAGGGTAGAATTTAGTGATTCATCAGTTGCATATAACGCTCAATGCTCATTACATCAAATGCCCTCCTTAATGCCCATCACCCAGTTACCCCATCCCCCAGCCCTGTCCCCTCCAGCAACCCTCAGTTTGTTTCATAGAGTTAAGCATCTCTTATAGTTTGTCTCCCTCTCCGATTTCGTCTTCCCCTCCCTTCCCCTATGTTCATCTGTTTTGTTTCTTAAATTCTACATACGAGTGAAATCGTATGATAATTTAATGGTGAATTTAAAACATAAGAGCTGGAATTTAAAGAGAGAGAAGAAAAAAAGCACATGGCCTAAATGGTCAGTCATCTAAGGAGCCTCAGAGGCTCCTTAGGGGAGGGGGGTTGGTTTAGGGGGCCTGGTTCTCTATCTAGTTGTGTGGCTGGCGGTGTTTACCTGAAATAGTCATCTTTGAAATGGATGCCTCTTTGAAGTGGAGGCTTAATCAAAGCTTAAGTCAGGTACTTGCATTAAGAAAAGAGAAACCAACTGTGAGGGTTTACACTACAATTGATTTAGTGCAATGGTTAAGACCCCTAGTGCAGTGTTGAGCAGAAGTGATGAAAGTTATGTTATTTTCCCTTTGTTGCTCTCACAGGTAACATTCTCAACATTTCATCATTAATGTATGTTTGCTAGCATATTTTTTTGTAACTACCTTTATCAGAGAACATGTTACTTTCTATTGTTCATTTGATTAAATGTTTTATCAAGAATAGATGGTGAATTTCATAAAGTTATTTTCTGTGTCCATTGAGATTTGTGATTTTTACAATTCATATGATTTTCCTTCATTATCCTATTAATGTGATTAATTATATTGACTGATTTTTAAATATCAACTTTACATTTCAACCCACATTGGACATGTTACTTGACTTTCCTTTATTTATGGCCAGGTTTAATTTGTTAATATTTTGTTTAGGATTTTTACATCTGTGTTCATCAGTGAGAGTACCCCGAAATTTTCCTTACTTATAATGTTTTTGTCATGTTTTGCTATAAGATTATGTGGAATTTGAAAATAATCTAAGAAAAATTTTTTTTCCAGCTGGAAGATTTTGCATGGCATGATGTCTTTATTAAATGGCTATCCAGGGGTAGTTTTACGTAGAGTCTTGATAGATAACAGTTAAAAGATGGTTCAGATTTTCTTCTTTGTCAGTTTTGAAAATACTTGTGAAGAAATATAATTATAGATTATATTTTTAAACATTTGTAGGGCTACTTGGATTTTCTACTTCTCCCTTTGCCTATTTTTGTAAGCTATGTTTAATTAAGAATGTATATTCTAGATGTAAATTTTGATATTTATTAACTAAAAGTTACTCATTACACATCTTTATGATCTTTCAATGTCTTCAGGAGTGTCAACATATTGCCTTTTTCATTACTGATGTTGGTTTTATATGCATCGTCTCTTTTATACTTGCCAGTCATACCACGGATAATTTCAATGATTCTTCAAAAAGTCAATTGTCAGAGGTTAAGTTCTCCAAAGGTAAATATTAAGAGAATTTGGGATGTAAAGTGTAGGTACTTTGTCTAGAAAGTATGAAAGCTACCTGCTTTGGTCATCTCTCTGTATCTCAATTTTATCATTGCACCTCCATGTGCATGTAATTAATCTTTGTTTTCTTTCTCCTGTTAATCTATCTCAAGTCAATTTCATTCTTAGACCAGCTAGAAGACATTCAAAGGGTAGAGGAAAAATTGTCCTTCCTCAACAATACCTGAAAATTGTGCTGCCAAGCACTAATTAAAGAGGTTTACATCCATTACAGCATTTAGACTTATGACAGTAGATAATTACAATTATTTAGCAAATGCAAAACTGAGTTATAAGGAGGTTAAATAATTTGCTGAAAGTCTCAGAGCTAATAAGTAAGTGGATAGGCCACCATCCTAACCCCAGGTCTCTATAGCTGCAATCTTCAATATAGCATAAATAACATTCTTCAAATGCTACCCATGTAATTACATATGAAAGATTTATTCCTAATCTTATTTTTTCTTACCTTTTCAGCTAATTTGAGAGTTCCACTGCCATCTCTGCTAGAGTTTTCCATTCTATTATACTCCTCTCTCGCTTTGATCACAGTGACTGAATATACAAAATGCTGAGATACACCAAATTGTAAGAACAAATTTTTACTCTTAAGAACCATCTTTAGGGGCGCCTGGGTGGCTAGTTGGTTAAACGACTGCCTTCGGCTCAGGTCATGATCCTGGAGTCCCGGGATCGAGTCCCGCATCAGGCTCCCTGCTCGGCAAGGGGCCTGCTTCTCCCTCTAACCCTCCCCGCTCTCATGTACTCTCTCTCTCTCTCATTCTCACTCTCTCAAAATAAATATATATCTTTAAAAAAAAAAAAAAAAAGAACCATCTTTATTGGGACCCAGAAGTGTTCTGAGCTTTGACTCAGCTGCCTTAAATAGGATCAATTCTTTAGGGATTAGTTCAAGCAGTCCCCAAGGCTGCGTTAAGGCCTTGAGTTCTTTGATCTTCTGGTGAAGCCACTAAAACTCAGGTTGAATGATTCTTCTGTGCCATCATTGGGGCATTTCAGATGAACATCTTTCTCCTTATGAGGACAGAAGAAAACAATAAACTCCAAGTGGAATTTCCTGCCCAGATACCCTCCCTTCCAGCAGGCACAGACCATACAGTTGCTGGATTCTTTTGATATCATCACCATCAAGATGGAAGGTTCTAGGGTCCCGATTCACATATCTGGGGTACATTATGGAGTTCAGACTCTTGGAGTGCAGCAGGCCCAGAGAATGGCCTAGTTCATGAATGGCAACAAGGAACAGATTAAACCCTGAAAAGGTACAGACAAAAGTATAAATATTAACTATGCATAAAGAAGGCAGAAAAAGAAGGGAGAAAAAAGGAGAGAACAGAAAAGGAGGAAATAACAAATGTTAGAAAGCAAGAAAAAGGCAAGCAGAGAGGGAAGGAATCTAGTGGGAAACAGAATGGCAGAACAGATGGACAGATAAACTGGAAGTGAACAAGAAGCATGGAGAAAATTGAGACACTGATTAATGGAAGCAAAGACATAAAGAGAGAAAAGAAAATGTGACCATGTGTTTATGATAGGAGTATCTTTGTTCAGAAATGATCCCACCTGCCCCCACTCAAATAGGAGACCCAATTCCTCAACCAAATTTTCCCATCTCACCCTGGACACTCTGAGTCCTTCCCTTTACTCTCTTTACTACATTCTAGGCCCAAATGAAGACCATCATTACTAACACCTGGGCTCCCAGAGAGTTCTAGCATTCCTACCAGGTAAGGTCTTTACCTCTGTATGAAGTTGACCAATGTTCTGCTCTGTCAAAGTGGATAACTCCTGAAGGTCCAGAATTTGGTAAAAAAGCATGACCTAAGACACCACCTGGTCCATCAAAGGGCCAACAATCTCCATGGGCTGTGGACAATGACAAGCTATTGTCACAATGGGGGATCAGGGAAAGGGCAGGAATGGTCCTAGTAAGCCTCAGTGCCTTAGAGTACCATGCAACTGGATAATGCTAGAGGTGTGAGAGGGCTAAGGCACCATCTATGCAGAGGAATGGGGTGGCACCAAAAATCTGTCTTCTGTGGTAAAAGAAGAGGAGAAGATGGCAGAGATTGAATGAAGGTTATATGTTGGACAGAAAAACTTCTTCCCAAAATGAAAGGAAAGGGAGAAGGAAACTTAGACTCTACAGTGTTTTATAAATAGGTTGGATCAACTTTGAACAGTGTTTCAATAGATTTGAGGGCTACACAACTGCCTTTTGACAGGCAAATGTACAGTCACCCTCCTTTACTCTGTTCATACAACAGTGCATCTCCTCCCCTATCTCCTGCTACATTGTACTAAAGATGTCTTTCTGTGTTATAGACTTACTGATTTCCATTAGGTTTGTCTTTTTTCAAAAGCTGAACTAGGTGGACTGGGTTTTTCTTTATGGATTGAGACCATTTGCCCTTTACATGGGACACCATACCCTCCTTCCCATGTCTGTTTCTTACCTAAGTCCCAGAAAGAAATCTTGATGTCCGCATCTTGATTTTTCACTTGCTGGAAAATCAAGAGGGTCACATTGCTCCAGATGGAAACTGCGTCTTGCATAATGCCTTTCACTATGGATGGGTTTATATCTCTTGGGTAATTGATAATCCTGAAAGAAGAAATCTTTAAGTGGAATAGCTCAGAGGTATAGGAATTATCCTACATCTAAAAAGAAATGACTGCTTTGGGGCAAATCACTTACTATTTTTGGGACTCATTTTGCTCATCTGTAAAATAAATTCCCAAAGAATTAAACCCGCAAAATATAGATTTCTAAGAATTTAGACATTTGTTAGATTTCTGAGAATTTTATCAAATTCCCCACATTCCTAAAGTCTGAAAACCATAGCCCTACAAAGTAGTTATGAAAAAATAATCAATGTGGACTCAATCAAAAAATGCACAGCATTCTATATAAGTTATTATTAGTTGGCTTTGGATGTCTCTAACATGCTTTGGATTCCCCATAGAAAGAGTACCCTAGATAGGGAGCAAAAATACGTCAAAATTCTCTGCTATAAACAACCCCTCCCCCACAGCGCGCGCACACACACACACACACACACACACACTTCCAAAAAAAAAAAGTTTTAACTAAGCAGAAGTCAATAGAAGTGCCTCCAGGAGGCACTCATTGCTCCAGGCTTTAACAACAAACACCTGTAGGTCAAAGTGTGCTTATCCCATTTAGAACTTCCTGGGAAAGTGGAGTCATTAGCCCCATCAGTTACTCCACAGTGGGGCTGGTGTGGCACAGCCAGCATCTGCTCATCCTGTAGGTCTGTCTCATTCAGATGGAAGGGCGGCAGGTGCTGTATGTCTTCCCCCTGGGTGAAGAGTGGTGACTCTTTCTTGGTCCGGAAAATCTGATGGGAATAGTCCTGGGTGAGAGGGAAGGGATGAGTACTTAGGATAAGGGCAGACTTGCGCTACCAGCAACCTGGGGCAGAGCCTCTTTTGAGGTTCTGGGAAGGATGGGGCTTTCTGTATCTGGCCTTCTTAAACCTCCTGTTCTCAGTTGAATGATGGCATCTATCCCTGATTCTCCTGTCATGGGGAGACAATAAAATAAAAGTGACCTAGATAGCCTGTTAAAAATTCTCCAGAAATAAAGCATCCAGTGTCAGGAAAGAGAGGCCCAAGAATAAAGGTATAAGGTGTTAGGTGGGACTTGTCCAGGGAAGATGGTGTCTGGCCTTTCTGACCGATTGAGGTGTTCTCAATCAGGACAGAATCTATGACTCCCATGACATAAAATTTGGCCATTTCTGCATACCCAGTTCATTTGCATTTATACGTTCCATTCCATTAAGATACGTTTTTAGAGCTCCTTCATTAGCTACTCCCCGTCTCCATTAACTTTCTTACCATCTGGTACTGAATTTCAACTTCTGGGGGAAAAAAGAAGTACACCTTATATTACAGTCATCTGTATCTATGTTTGAACTCTAGTACTTTAAGGGCAGTACTTATTCTAACTTGGCCTACACCACAGTTCTTATGATAGTACTTGATATAAACTCATGATTAATTTTTACATTTGGTATAAAATTACATTTTTATGCCTTTATTTTATTGTGGACTTGGCTGGGCACTCAGAGGCATATGATTTAGCATATTTTTCTGGACTAAGTATGAGCAGGAAATTTTACCCAGCCCCTGAGTAATTATGAAGTATACAACTAACACCAGTTTCAGTTATTTTGGATGCTTAAAAAGTCTAGAACAAATTCACAGTTGCTTGACAAATTTCAAAGTGTGTAGTAGACAGTTTGAGAGGTTTCTCAGTCCATAGGAAGGACAAATTTATTAGTCCTTTTAAATCACTTCCTCTGATTGCTCACCACCTGCCAGATTCAGAGATGCAGATCCTGAGTGTTCATTCTACGCCCTTCCAGGAGGCTAAGAGTAGGGGAGGGGAGCACTGCAATTGCATTATTCACTAGGCACTATAAGAACAGTACTTTTAGGGGCCCAAAGATGATTTCATTACTTCTGAAATCAGAAGAAAAAAAACCTGAAAGATTGAAGAAAATGAAAAAAGATTTAGTATGTAATATTAATATATTCATTTCTATACCATGTGGTAACTGTATGGATATAAAATATAATGGAAGAAGAGCCCACAACAGTCATAATGTTACAACATGGTCAAATCAGCACACCTACCTTAATAAAGTCCAGTCCTTTAAGGTCTATAGCAGGGGGCACTGGGAAGGCCAGGCACCAAGGCAGGAAAACAGTAACCTTGAAGACGGCAGGCTGCATGGCAAATGCTCATTCTCCCCCTGCCTTAACTCATGTACCTAACATTGATCATGGAGCCTTTATAGCCATGCTGGCCACATCCAGTGACTCATGCTGCCACTTTGCCCTTTCCTTGCACTGGTTAGTGTCGTCATTGTCCTTCCTGAGCTGAAGGCAGAGTGGTCAGCCTGGCAGGGTGACGACAGCAGCCATGGGATTTATTTTGCCATTCATTTCACACCTGATGGCCCTCAGAATACCTGGCCACATCCCTGTCAGAGGAAATAATGGTATATCTCAGGTTTAGAGGACATTATTATTTAAAAATGGAAGAAAAAAAAAACCAAGAAACTGGAGACATAGAAACAATTTACTATACCTTTGCATATAGAATAATTTCTTTACTAGTCACAAACAAATATTACCTTGCTCCAGAAGCTAAAAAGAGAGAGGTATGTGAAATTGAGGAAGAGAGTAGCATCCACTATAGTGAAAATTTAGATCAGAATATGAAAAAATCTCTGAAACCCATATAGAAGAGTTATAGGGACACACAGAATGATAAAGTTGCTAAAAATATGTTTGAGAAAATAAATCAATTGACTATAAATTGAGAGAGACCCAGAAATTTTATACACAGCAAAAGATTTCAGTTGATAGCCTTTGAGATCACACAAATATGAGTATGAATATTAACTCAGCTACCTAAAAGTTGATCTACCTTAAGCAAGTTATTTAATACTGTAAAGCCTCCATCTCTTTATCTGTAAATTAAGGAAACTAATAATATTCACATAATTTGATGTGTAAGGGAGATAGAAACTGAGCACTGGGCTTGGTAACAGTAATCACAATAGGCAAGAGCTATTTTACAATTATTTTTACATTCACACGGACACAAAAATTGAAGCAGAAACAAAGACCTGGAGACACCGAGAGAGAATGATTCAAACACCAAGCTTTATTGAACACTTTCTGAGTGCCCAGACCTGAAATTGCCTCCAATGAGGAAGACACGGAGTGAACAGAGGCAGTTCCATTTCTTGCTCTCAGGAGCTCATTCTTTGGCAACCCCAGGGACACCTGCTACACTGCTCCTCTGAGGACTATGCCTCTCCCTCCTATTCCTGCCAGTTCCTCCAGATAAACCAAAGGGGTTAAAATGACTCTGGGAAGAGAGTGGAAATAGGATAGGGAATGAATGGAGAAAGTAGGGGTGTTCATTACTTCTGACTCACCCCCAAAACTCTAGATCCCCACCTCTGCATCAATTCCTTCTGACAATTGATCTTAATCGAATTTCTTTCTTCTTCTTCCAGGGGTGCCTACTCCCTGAATATGATACCATCCAGGTGTTGTCCCCGCAAACACAGGCTCAATAGGTCCAATTGGTCTGCCTTCACCTATACTCTGAAAACATGCCCTTCTAGGGAATGAAACTTCCATTCATGCTCCTTTGGAGAACTGTAGCCCTCTGCTCTGTCTCCCCATCCCTGTCTTCCTCATGGCTGGGAAAGACCCCATATTTGATTGCTGTTTCTCTGCCTTGGCAATATTTGGCATTGGGGAGTGGTGAAAGAGGCTGTGAGGACTGTGCCAACCATGATCTTGGCATTAAGACCAGGTTCACAATTCCATTAAATGTTAGCCTGATAGCAAGATGTGATAGAAGCCAGAGTTCCAGGCCTTGGGCCTATAGTAAAAACAAAAATCAAATAACAGGTGTTAAGGATGAAAATTGAGGATCATATAAGAACTTGTAAAACATATGCAATTATTGAGGACCTATTATGAAATAAGTCTGTATTTTATGCCTTTGGAAAATATTATAATAACTTTATAGGTTAAAAGATGGGACTTGGGGCACCTGGGTGGCTCAGTCGGTTAAGCATCTGCCTTCAACTCAGGTCATGATCCCAGGGTACTGGGATCTAGCCCCGCATCAGGCTCCCTGCTCAGCGGTGAGTCTGTTTCTCCCTCTCCCTCTGCCCCTCCACCTGCTTGTTTGCTCCCCACCCTGCTTCTCAAATAAATAAATAAAAATTTAAAAAATAGATAAATAAACAAAGATGGGACTTGAAAATAAGAGATGACATACTAATGTTATGTAGTTAAGGAATAAAGTTTGTTTCAAATTCAACACTGAAATGTTCCACCAATAAGGGGGAACAAAATTACATATAGATGACAGATAATCAATCCATCAATAGACGATAGGTAGATAGATGATAGATGGATAGATATAGATAGATAGATAGATAGATAGATAGGTAGATAGATAGATATAGATAGATAGAGGATAGAAAACCACTACCCAGCAACAACAGGGAACCAATTACACATACAACAAAACAGGCAACATCAAAAACGTTAGTTTGAGCTAAACATGTGTGATTATAGTTACATTTATATGAAGTTCAAGAAAAAGCAAACTAATTTATGGAGAGAAAACTCAACAGGGATTTACTCTGTGGAGGGGAGAGAGGATTGATGGTAAAATATACACACAAGGGAACTTTCTCAAGTGATAACACCTTCTATTTATTGACTAGAATCTGGATAATACAGGAGGATTCACTTTTCAAAACTCACTAAACTATACTTAGTTATCTGTGCATTTTACCACATGCTAATTATACTTCCATAAAAATAAGTATCATTTATTTAAATAAATAAGAGAAATTGTAGATCAATAAGGTACCAGATGTTACACACACTTCATCCTGAATGATACAGGACTATAATATAAATGGTAATATCTGTGGTCAAATGAGCATATATATAATAATGTTGATGTTTTTTAATGTGGGAATGCTATAAACTAGTTTACATTCTAAGAGAAGGAGGTTATATTCTAAAGATATGGGTAAATAAATAATGGATAATCCAACATAAGAATTAAGAAGATTGGAAGTATTTGTGGTAAACTTGGAGAAGAGAATATTCTAAATCTGGAAAAGGCAAGATGGAGTTAAGATTGCCTATGAACCAGAGGTGTTTATTGTTAGGTAGGTATAATATAAAGATAGGTTATTTCTTATAGCCTCTTTCAAATTTGTAAAATATGATTTTGTTCACTATGTTCTCATAGGCCTTAATCTTCATTTCCAAGATGAATAAACTAAGGTTTAAGAAATAATACAACCTCTCCATAGAAAAGGTAAAAATAGTAAGATTTGCATCTCTATCTGGTTAACTCTAAAGCAAATTCTATTAAATGAGCATGCTGCTTATATTTACTGGCAGATATCCATCATTATACCATCAACACATCCTTGGTCCTTCAAACAATAAATTCACAAACCTTGGAGCCTAAGCTCAGGGGAGTCACAATGTTAGAAATAATGCCTAACTGTCAAAAGTTACTAGAAGTTTTCCAAAATGTATTGCAACACTGAAAAAAGAGCACAAACCCTTTTGAGTCTCTTATGTCTCCTCAGTTATTCTGAAATCTCTTTTTTAACCCCTCCCACTCACCAATCCCTGAAATGCTCCTGCACACATTCTTTGTCAGTTCTTCATCCCTAGTTTCTTCATTAGTCTCCTGTCCCTCAGAAGTGGCCAGTTGGAGGTTGGCTTCACCATCTAGGCTAGATGTCTTCAGGAAGTGAGAAGTTGGGCCCTCCCTGACCCTTGACAGGACATGATCAGAGTCCCCCATAAAGAGTAGTTCTTCAGTTACTCTGACTTGTTCTTATAATTCTGGTGCAGAATTGTTAATAAATGAAATCCCCCCATGTTTCCCAGTCTGTAAACTATACCATAGACTCATTAAGGACCGACAGGGACTTTTCCAATTTGCACTGATAGATATAGCAGTCTTTGAAACCAAGAAGGAACTCATTATTTATTAGATGAATAAATGTGTTCAGTGAAAGAATCTCATAGCTACTAATGAGATTAAGTTGTTTGTATCTATTTTGCTAGTGGTAAATGGGAGCACATAACTCAAGTTTCTCAACCTAGGACAGATAAAAGTTACAATAATTTATTGAGTACATATTCTATGTCAAGCATGTACTGTCTTTCTCATTGACACAACCATTTGTGAAGTAGGAGTTTTATTACTTTCTTCTTAGAGTTAAGGAAACGAGAACTTCACAACATTTGACCATCATTTGACAGTCATAATATTCAAAAAAGAGTGTCTTAATCTGAAGGCAGAACAGTTCATCACTGAAGTGGACTGCCAATTCAAAGAGATTGCTTCATCACTTGTGGTGCTACACATCACTGCAATACTGTTTCTGGTGATCCCAGGCTGCGCTATGCAATGTGATAGGGTGGACTCAGATGAGTAGACACCTGTAAGACTGACCCAGTACTCAAGTAAATGAGTGCTGGGTGCTGAGGCCTCGCTTAACCTAAGAAAGTAAATGAGTGACATATTAATAATTCAGCCACAGACAAGAAGTATGTGTTTGAAGTACAGCAGCGTTTCTTGAAATGCGACGTAAATATGAATCATTTGAGGATGCTGTTAAAGATATAGATTCTGATTCACTAGTCTTAGATGGTCCTAATATGTTTATAAGTTTTTATTTTAATTCCAGTTAGTTAACATACAGTGTTATACTAGTTTCAGGTGTACAATACAGTGATTCAACAATTCCATACAACACCCAGTGCTCATCACAACAAGTGCATTCCTTAATCCCCATCACCTATTTCACCCATCCCCCCCACCTGCCTCACTTAGGATTATACTCTCTAGCTCCATCCATGTTGTTGCAAATGGCAAGAATTCATTCTTTTTTTATGGCTGAGTTCAAAATATATACAAAATACATCTTTATATATACATATATAAAATACATCTTCTTCATCCATATATATATATAATACATCTTCTTCATCCATATACATGTAATACCTCTTCTTCATCCATTAATCAATCAATGAGGACCTAATATTTTTAATTTCTAACAAATTCTTAGGTAATGCCAATGCTGCTTATCTAAGGATCACACTTTTTGAGCAGTTACAAGGCAAGAGGTTTTGAAAACGTAGGGAGTGTAGAA